ACATATATATATATATATATATATCATTTCATACATACATACACACACATATGCCTACACATACATGCATATTGATGCATACATATACATATATACATAACACACACACACACACACACATATATATATATATATATATATATGCATATGTCACATTCATAAAATACACATACTTACGCATTTTAACCCATGTAAGCATGTATCCATATAAACAATTAAGTCACATAATAAATACATTGAGCAATAACCCGGACTCGGTTATCATATCACTTCAACTGCCCCTCTTTTTTTTTAAGCTGAGCACACAAACCCATTTGCAGTTAAGCTCACTCAATATGGTTGACCTCTTGGGTAGGGCTATCGGTTCTGATAGTCCATAGAGATATTTATGTTAAGCATTCAGTCCCTCCTAAATTTTTTGCAATTAAGCTCAATGAAACTTATGCAATTAAGCTCAATTGATCACATGATTTTGATCAATAATATATTGCAATTACGCACATGAAAAATATTCAAAGAGTTATTCACAAATCAGATTTTGAATATAGAGAGAAATGAACGAAGATCTGTAAGAACAATTTTACAGATTATTAACCAAAGAATTGTGAATTATTTATCAAACAAAGACTTATCAATCAAAGAACTATTTTTCAAAGTATAGAAAACAAATTGGAATACAAACGAGCGTATTATCACCGAAATAAAATCTGCATTTTTAAAGACGTGATAATAATAATTTGAAAAACATCTGAATCAGGTATTGGAGTTATGCAAAAAGAGAAAATACGCAAGTATTGACTCAATGAAATACCTGATCAGAGATGATATTCGTTTCAAACAGAAAGTAAAATGAAAACCATATAAAAATCACACTTCTTAGAATATTAAATGACTTTGAGTTCGAAGAAGTGGTTTGAACATTTAAAAAATATTTTATATACATAGAAGTTGTTCTTCTTTTGCGCATATGAAGAGTAAGTATAGAAAAATATACCTAAGAATGATGTCAGATCATATATGCAATGAGATGTGCTCCCCCTTAACAATACAACTCATATCAAACAAGTGGTTAGAATTTAACAATTAATAACATTAAGATCAGAATCAAATTCAAATATAGACACAGACTTAGGCTCCCCCTAAACAGATGGATCCGATTTTCATACAGACAGACTTAGCATCCCAAAACTTTATAACCGAATAACTGGTTATTACATTATCCTCCCCTCAAAAGAATTTCGTCCCAAAAATTCATTCAATCAAAAACAACCCTGAGCTTTATAACCGAGTAAGCAGCTATCACAGTTCAGTTCAAATTGTTAATGTTTAGGTTTAGGTTCAAATTTGATAATTACTTAGGTTTTGTTCTTCTTTGTGCTTAGCATATATGCATCTCTGTTATATCATTTTGCAATGTAATAAAAAAACTATGAATGTAACAAAGACTCAAGAGATTGGAACGTCTTTGTGGAATGAAATATTCATATAAACGGGTTGTGTACTCATTTAATGCAGGGATATGTAAGTTTTTTCTATTGTAAACCCAAAATCAAAAATTTATGCAAATTCTCATTAAGAACATAAAACACAAAATTTGTAGAGTATTCCGTTATATTAGTAGGTTCGACATTTATCCTGTAATTTTATTGGTTAATTCTTGGAGTTCAAGCAGTTTTAAAACTTGAACGTATACAATAATAAGTTGCAAACTTATACTTCAGAAGATTATATATTGATGATTACTATCTAATTTACAATTAATATTATTTATAATTTATAATTAATATTAATTTATAATTAATAACACTAAGAATTATTAATTACTAATAATCACAAGCATAATTGAAAGAAGTGGTAAAAAGTCCTTTAAAAGTATTAAAATCAACGAAATATTTTTTAATAAACTTAAAAAATAAGTTAATTTAGAGCATCTGCAATAAATTCTTCAATTTTTTTTTAAATTAAGAATCTAAAACCAAAATTTTCAAAAAAATTACGTTGATCTTTAACTTCTTCTCCATTTTAGAGAATATAACATTACTTATATTATTAATATATTCAATATATTTAATATCATAATAAAGTTTCAAATAAAAATGATAAATACAA